TAAAAAGTATAAGGTAAAATAAAGTGAGGGTGCGATTAATTGGGAAGAAAGAAAATGATATCTCAATATAATAAAGTGTTGTAGAAGTTTCCACAAAAATAGTGACATAATATACGAAGATAAAGAATGAAATTCTCAGGTGTCAACATTCTTCGCTGATAAAAACTCATGTTAATTTCAATTAAACATGTGTAACATATAGAGTTGACTGAATTATAATTGTTTTATTTTGACGTCATGATTAAGCAGTGCACATTTTATACAGGCTACCGAAGAACCACCGGATTGTTAATTAATATTGCTTGGTTGCCAAACCTACAACTTCCTTCATTTCACGTAAACTATGTAATTATCCACACGCCCTGCTGTTTGAATTTTCAGAGTTTTCAATGACAAATGCTTTAGTTAAGGAACATTTTCACCGTGGGTATCAGTATCAGTATCACACAATGCACGCACGCACGCGTAAATTTGGCACGGAGGTAGGTCACGTGACTCAGGTCCATACACACGTGCACACACATGTCGTGCACAAGCATTTAAGTTAATGCACACGTATAGCATAGGGACATGTCATGCGGTGACAGATGAGCTATTGGGTCTTCGGTTGGAATTTCAATAGTCTTGGCCCACACAAGATTAGGCAGGCCAGGAAGAGAGCCCAAATAAAAGCCCAGCAAAATTTTAAGGCTATTTTATAAATTATTCATTTATTGTTTCCAAAAGTTTAAATATATATTATGGCAATTTGGTTGTATAAATCTAGGCTTTAATGTTTCTAAAGTGAATGTAGATAAGTTATCTACATTCGCTCCCAAAACTCCGTCGTTTTTCGTTGAAAAATTTAAAAATTATAATGAAAAAGATTATTATAACCTTGAAATAAATAATAATTACAAAAATACCTTGATTTCCGTATCAAAACGACGTCTTTTTGACTCAATGTGGATAAGTTATCTACGTTAACTATAGAAAAAGTGAACCCATAAATCTATATAGTCTAAAATTTCCTCCACACAATCCAAATTCCAAAGTAGTCATTTTGATAGAGGTTTGGCATATATCAGATCTGTGGTTGTTAAACAGATGGGATCAACCAAATTTAAAAGAAAAATTAACAATGGTTACTTCACGATTAAAAGAGATAATCCTATTCATAGAGAAATTAAAACATGATTACACATCAAATAGGATTTTGCATATTTCTCAAGAGTGTTTTTGATTGAGTGCGGTGAACTTAATTTTAGACTGCAATTGTCGAGAAATAAAATTTCCTCCATAACAGAAGGATAAAGGAGGAAGATAAACGTTGGAATTCTCCCATAAAACTGGCATCGTTGAAGGCAATTGAATGTAGAAGCAAGTTAATTATGCTTTCTCTTCAAAATAAAAAAAAAAAGTTAATTATGCTTTAGGCCATGTAACACCCCAAATTTCTAACAATTTATGAAACAATCTTATAATAAATAAATTGTCAAAATTCATTTTTTTTTTTTCACAATTATAATAATAGAAATATTGCGGAAGCTAATCAAAATCTAATTTGGGGAATGTTACCGCCGCACCTGTACAATGAACAGGTGCAAGGCTAAATTTATTACATTAAAATAAAACCAAAGACTAAAGTTTAAATAAAGGAAATATGTCTTATGCATTTATTTAAATCTCATAAATTTCTAAACTTAGAAACTAGCTTGAAATACTCGAGTCGTGATCCTCACTGTCCACAGCTAGCCCCATCCTTTGCAACATGCTTCACTGAAAATCTGCTCCCCCGCAGCCGCAGGATCATTGCAGTCAAACAAACACAAAAGTCAGCAAAGCTGGTAATCCTAATCAAAATACAATTAATATGAGTAATAACAAATTAAATCAAATGTCAAATAGTGTTCAAATCAATTCCACATTAATCAAATCAAATATCAATATAATAATCAAAATTCCATTATATAATATTTATCTTTATTAAGTTCATTTAATGTATTTGGTAATTATCAACTAATATATTTAGCACAACATTAGTCATAATATGATAATATTCACAACTCAATGACATTCTTCATAATCAAATCAAATAACAAATTTCATTATTAATAATGTTTAAGTTCGTTATATTTAGTGGGAAGAGAACCATGGTAGACCCGGGAAACCCTGCCAGTCTACCCTGTGACCCGGGAAACCCTGCCAGTCACAAACAAATCATATTGGCCATAATCAATTCACATCTTCCTAGTGTGCACACCTCTTCCCAAAGTTGCTACTAGTATCCCGGGAAACCCTGCCAGACACCACTTTGGAAAGAACGGATATAATCTTTTTCACATCAGTTTCACATCGGAGGCATAAAGCCCAAAAGTTGTGTTCATCACCTTGGGAGGTACCATCCCAAAGCTATCTTCCCACCATTAATTTATTACAAACACACACAATCAGGAAAGATTCAATCATAATTATTTATTCTTTAAGTATTATCATCTCTAAATGAGTTACTCAACGGCATTATAATTTTCCAAAGTATCATAATTCAAACAACTATTATCATAAATTCTCGAATTTATATAATAATTCAAATCTTCAGCATCTATCATAGTAAAATCCAAATCTGATCATCATAATAACTTTCCAATTTATTCAAGGATATGATAATTCAAATCTTCAACAGTCATCACAGTAAAATCCAAATCTGATCATTATCATAACTTTCCAATTTATTCAAGGATATGATAATTCAAATCTTCAACAGTCATCACAGTAAAATCCAAATCTGATCATTATCATAACTTTCCAATTTATTCAAGGATATAATAATTCAAATCTTCAACATTCATCATAGAAAAATCTAAATCCAATCATCGTCATTCAAATAATCCCATCACATCAATTATCATAGTTATTAATAATATAAATATTTAAATTCAATCATTAAAACACATATTTGGAAAGTTTTTCTTAAAGAGTAGTATAATTCCATAATTTTCATAATTATTCAATAAGATCCATATATTGCACATGAATTAAAAGTTTATATCATATATTGCACATAATCATAATTTCTGAAATAATAAAAAATTTCCAAAAATATTCTAATTATCATATGTAGTAATTTAAATTTAAAAAAAACAAATACCTATATATATAGAAATGTTCATACCAAACTATTAAGAACATCTACGGATTACATATAAGGATTATGCCCAAATTTCATATAATAGAGATAACCTAAACACCTAAGGATTCAGATTACATCCAAGTTTTATATAAAAGAAATAACCTACGAATAGGATTACATATACCGAAATTCATATCAATATAATCTATGACTCTCTAGGGATAAGGATTACTATTAATAAACTTCAAACAAAATTATAACCTAAGGATTAGGATTACACATATCAAACATATAACTACCTAAAGATTAGGATTACACACAATAAAAATTTCATACACAACGAATCTACAACCACCTAGAGATTAGGATTACCTGGTCTCCGCGCTAACTTCTAGAAGAAAAGAGTAATTTGGGGTAGAGAACCGGTTGATAAAAAAAAATATAAAGATTGAAAATAATTAAAATAAGCTTTTTGGAGAGAGAGAGTAGTAGAGGAGAGTGAATTGGTTTGGTTAAGCTAGGTCTCTATTTATAGTTGAAGTTTAGGGCTTATACATTACTGACTCAATGCTGACTCATCATATCTAAACAATATATGTTTGTTGACTCATTATATCTAAACAATTTATGTTTATTGACTCATCATATCTAAACAATATATGTTTGTTGACTCATCATATCTAAACAATTTATGTTTGTTGACTCATCATATCTAAACAATTTACTAATCAATCATTACTAATCAAACATAAATACATAAATCATCAATCAATTAATAAATCAATTAATCATATATATATATATATATATATATATATATATATATATATATATATTATCACATAAATCAAATAATATTACTATTATTATCTTACCTCTTATTATTTTAACTATTATTAACTCATTAATTAAAGATATTAAATACCAATATTATTAATTACAAAAATACTAAATATCATTATTATCCAAAAAATATTTATTATTATTATTATTTTATTAAAAGAAAATATAGGGTATTACATTCTACCCTTCTTAAAAGAAGTTTCGTCCTCGAAACTTAGAAGTTTGAGCTCCTCAAATTAACTTAAAGGCATAAGGTTAAAGTTAATAAAAATATGGGGGTATTACATTCTACCTTCCTTAAAAGAAGTTTTGTCCTCGAAACTTAATTAATTAATTTTTTTTTGAAACCCCTTTAAAAAAAATGTAAGCAAACATCAAAGAGTCATGCATAACCCGGCAAACAAGACAACATAGAATACAATAAATTTAAAGCACTGCAAATTAATGACTTGCTAACTTTAACCAAGCTAGAAAAAAAGTTTGGCGCTGAGTTAGTGGGGTTGGATACGTGTTCGATTCCCGCTGAATGCATTCTTGGGGAGGGGGCTGAACCTTTAGTCATCACTGTTCCCCCGCACTCCGGATTAGTCCCATAGCCGGCTCAAAGAGTCGAAGCTCGTGGGGATACCGGAGGGAGCCAACTCGTCTCAAAAAGAGATAATTAGGGTTGGGTAACTCCAAAAAAGGCTAGAAAAAAAGTTTCGAAACTGAATATCTTGTTTAAACAAATAGAAATTTTTATTACATATATTATCTTTCATTTGCTAGAAAAACTTTAATTATTTCAAGAACAACTCTAAAAGAAAGCTAATTACTTTTATTAAAATAAGAACGAGTTACAAAAGATAGCGTATATAAAAAAAAATGTTAAAGAATATTATCAATAATAATTTTAAATCACAAAATAATTCCAAACATATAATCATCGAAATTTCAAAGAAATAAATCATATTTAAAGGACAAGAAAAATAACCCTTCACTACCCATCTCTCGATTTATTTATTTACATTATGTCCTATTATTTTATTTCCTAATTTTTTTTTTTTATTTAACTCAGGGATCTTTGATCCCTCGAGTCAATATCAAAAGCAAACCCCAGCCGCAACCAGGGGCTCTGATACCATTTTGTAACACCCCAAATTTCTAACAATTTATGAAACAATCTTATAATAAATAAATTGTCAAAATTCATTTTTTTTTTTCACAATTATAATAATAGAAATATTGCGGAAGCTAATCAAAATCTAATTTGGGGAATGTTACCGCCGCACCTGTACAATGAACAGGTGCAAGGCTAAATTTATTACATTAAAATAAAACCAAAGACTAAAGTTTAAATAAAGGAAATATGTCTTATGCATTTATTTAAATCTCATAAATTTCTAAACTTAGAAACTAGCTTGAAATACTCGAGTCGTGATCCTCACTGTCCACAGCTAGCCCCATCCTTTGCAACATGCTTCACTGAAAATCTGCTCCCCCGCAGCCGCAGGATCATTGCAGTCAAACAAACACAAAAGTCAGCAAAGCTGGTAATCCTAATCAAAATACAATTAATATGAGTGATAACAAATTAAATCAAATGTCAAATAGTGTTCAAATCAATTCCACATTAATCAAATCAAATATCAATATAATAATCAAAATTCCATTATATAATATTTATCTTTATTAAGTTCATTTAATGTATTTGGTAATTATCAACTAATATATTTAGCACAACATTAGTCATAATATGATAATATTCACAACTCAATGACATTCTTCATAATCAAATCAAATAACAAATTTCATTATTAATAATGTTTAAGTTCATTATATTTAGTGGGAAGAGAACCATGGTAGACCCGGGAAACCCTGCCAGTCTACCCTGTGACCCGGGAAACCCTGCCAGTCACAAACAAATCATATTGGCCATAATCAATTCACATCTTCCTAGTGTGCACACCTCTTCCCAAAGTTGCTACTAGTATCCCGGGAAACCCTGCCAGACACCACTTTGGAAAGAACGGATATAATCTTTTTCACATCAGTTTCACATCGGAGGCATAAAGCCCAAAAGTTGTGTTCATCACCTTGGGAGGTACCATCCCAAAGCTATCTTCCCACCATTAATTTATTACAAACACACACAATCAGGAAAGATTCAATCATAATTATTTATTCTTTAAGTATTATCATCTCTAAATGAGTTACTCAACGGCATTATAATTTTCCAAAGTATCATAATTCAAACAACTATTATCATAAATTCTCGAATTTATATAATAATTCAAATCTTCAGCATCTATCATAGTAAAATCCAAATCTGATCATCATAATAACTTTCCAATTTATTCAAGGATATGATAATTCAAATCTTCAACAGTCATCACAGTAAAATCCAAATCTGATCATTATCATAACTTTCCAATTTATTCAAGGATATAATAATTCAAATCTTCAACATTCATCATAGAAAAATCTAAATCCAATCATCGTCATTCAAATAATCCCATCACATCAATTATCATAGTTATTAATAATATAAATATTTAAATTCAATCATTAAAACACATATTTGGAAAGTTTTTCTTAAAGAGTAGTATAATTCCATAATTTTCATAATTATTCAATAAGATCCATATATTGCACATGAATTAAAAGTTTATATCATATATTGCTCATAATCATAATTTCTGAAATAATAAAAAAATTTCCAAAAATATTCTAATTATCATATGTAGTAATTTAAATTTAAAAAAAACAAATACCTATATATATAGAAATGTTCATACCAAACTATTAAGAACATCTACGGATTACATATAAGGATTATGCCCAAATTTCATATAATAGAGATAACCTAAACACCTAAGGATTCAGATTACATCCAAGTTTTATATAAAAGAAATAACCTACGAATAGGATTACATATACCGAAATTCATATCAATATAATCTATGACTCTCTAGGGATAAGGATTACTATTAATAAACTTCAAACAAAATTATAACCTAAGGATTAGGATTACACATATCAAACATATAACTACCTAAAGATTAGGATTACACATAATAAAAATTTCATACACAACGAATCTACAACCACCTAGAGATTAGGATTACCTGGTCTCCGCGCTAACTTCTAGAAGAAAAGAGTAATTTGGGGTAGAGAACCGGTTGATAAAAAAAATATAAAGATTGAAAATAATTAAAATAAGCTTTTTGAAGAGAGAGAGTAGTAGAGGAGAGTGAATTGGTTTGGTTAAGCTAGGTCTCTATTTATAGTTGAAGTTTAGGGCTTATACATTACTGACTCAATGCTGACTCATCATATCTAAACAATATATGTTTGTTGACTCATTATATCTAAACAATTTATGTTTATTGACTCATCATATCTAAACAATATATGTTTGTTGACTCATCATATCTAAACAATATATGTTTGTTGACTCATCATATCTAAACAATTTATGTTTGTTGACTCATCATATCTAAACAATTTACTAATCAATCATTACTAATCAAACATAAATACATAAATCATCAATCAATTAATAAATCAATTAATCATAATTTATCATCTAATATATATATATATATATATATATATATTATCACATAAATCAAATAATATTACTATTATTATCTTACCTCTTATTATTTTAACTATTATTAACTCATTAATTAAAGATATTAAATACCAATATTATTAATTACAAAAATACTAAATATCATTATTATCCAAAAAATATTTATTATTATTATTATTTTATTAAAAGAAAATATAGGGTATTACAAAATCCCTCAATTTTGTACATTGTAACACTTCCCAAGTCATAAATGTGAAAAGAAAGAGGAAAAACAACATTTAGGATTGTAGACATACATACATAAAATTTAAGCAACATATTATAAAAAGAAAGGCACATTGATATTGAGGATAAAAAGTCAACTAACAAGTTGACTTTTTGGTGTAAGTGATAATGAGTTTGTTTCTCATGAGATCTCAAGTTCAAGCCCTAAGAATGGAGAAATCTAAACTGGATGGGCTTGACAGAGCTCAAATTAGATCAATTGGGTAGTTGAACTAGTGGAAAAATCTAAACTGTCTCGGCAGGCCTGGCAAGAAAGAAACCATAGACATATATAATGTGAGTTAAGCCACTTTTTTAGGCAGGCTAGAAGGTTGTTTGATTGCCTTAGATGATGAACTTAACTCATAAATTACCACAACAAAAAGAATAATATAATTATGGGTTTTATAATTCTCATGTTGAAGGAGAATTGAAATCTCATGTTGTAGAGATAAAAAGCATGTGGGACCCATGTGTTAGAAAAAATTATATGTAGGACCCATGCCAGCACGGAAATCGAAGAGTGTGTAGGAAAATTGTAATTCTCATGTTAAATGAGAATTATAAAACCCTATAATTATATGTTCCAATTTATCTGTCAGATTGGAGTCTGCAGCTTCTTCATTTCAATGAGTTGGGTCAAACATGGTTTGAATGGGCTTAGAGACAAGTGAGCATATCCATAGAATAGTGTCATATAAACTAGTGATAACTATGAAAATTCGAGTTCGAGGGAGGTAAAATATGCATGAGCATGAATTCTATCAAGACCAATAAAACTTGATTTTTCCATATTATAAGTAAATAATTTTCCTATCAAATAAGATGCATGAGGAAAATTTTCTAGCTATATTACTTTATAGAAACAATTGAAGGAACTATAGGTTACCCATAACACCAAATTGAATGAGTCAGGAGTTCCAGAATGAATCATTGTCTCTCTTCCACAAATGAGTTCCAAAAGAACAACTCCAAAGCTATATACATCACTTTTCTCTGTAAGCTGTTGGGTGGAATAATACCTGTACATGGAAATTGACTTAAATATGACATCATGTTATCAATTATCATGAAACCATTAGTTTATTAATTTCAATAACATACTCTGGATCTAGATACCCAGCAGTTCCCTTCACAACAGTTGTGACATGAGTTGCATCTGCTTGGGTTACTTGCTTAGAGAGGCCAAAGTCGCAGACCTTAGCATTCATATCCATATCCAATAGAATATTACTACACTTGACATCTCGGTGTATGATTCGTGGTTCATTTCCGTTATGCAAATAATCCAGTCCTTCAACACAATGGAAAAGAGCTTAGCACAAATAATTTATGTCTATCAAAATAGGGTTTAATATCTCACGTGTTGTAGGAGATAAAATTATCTCATATACATATATAAAAGTGTGTGAGATCCATATATTCTTTTTCTTTTTCTTCTCTTCACATTACCCTACATGGGCTGCACATACTTTTATATGTATATAGAAGATAATTTTATCTCTTACAACTTAGGAAACATCAAACCCATAAAAATAATATGAAACATAATGTATCAAATTCATAGAAATATAATATGCATTTTTAGTGTAACATAATTTTACACTATCATCAATGATGTATTGTATCATTTAATGAGTTTGACATCTTATATATTGTCAAACTCATATACGATGTATCACACATTGTTAGATGATAATTATTATTTTTTATATGGATAACACATCAAAGTTAAACTCAATTATTATTGAGAAAAGTGTGCATCATTTTAAAAAATGTAAAATTGTGTCATTTTAAGTGAGAGAAAGAGATAGATAAAGGAAGAGAGAGAGAGTAGACAGAAAAATATAAAGGTGTGGGTCCCACCTCTTTGTGAGAGTGAAATGATATAAGTTGTGTCGTTTAAGAGGACAAACACTTTTCTCATTATTATTTGTTAAGAACTTAAAGTAGTACCTTTTGCTGCATCGACTGCAATTTTCAACCTTCGAATCCAGCTTAAGGGAGTTTTGTAGCTGTTTGCACCTAATAAAAAGAGAATGAAAGTGCAATGTTAAACATAAACTCTAATGCTGACTTCATTATTGGAATCTTTGAAGCAAAAGGAGATGAACTAGCTAGATATTTGTGTTGAAGCATGTAGTACCATAGAGGTGATCACCCAGTGATCCACCAGGCAAGTACTCATAAACTAATATCTGATGCTTTGATTCTTGACAAAATCCTTCCAAAGACACAAGATTTTGATGTCGGATTTTCGACAGGAGATGAATCTAAGAACAATGGAAGATATGAAAGAAAGAATTAGTAAAAACAAATGGGAAAGAGAAAACAGAAATTTTATAATAGAAGCAATGTTCTTACAACAAAGAGACACAAATGGCTCAAAATAATGTGTAAGATGGATATATTCATTCATAAATATGTAAAATATTGAGAAAATTGTTTCAATATTATTCAGTGATTTTGTTTGTCATAAAATGCTTATAGATTTAAGACATATTCTGAGCTGGCTTGGAGGCCACAGTGGGTATTGAGTAAATAACTGAAATTGGGATACAGTCCAAGAATCATTGCTTTATAAATGTTACATAAATAAGCAGGTGACAAAGTATTCACATGGTTAGAACTTAGAAAAATTATTCATTTGTCTTCACCTAATAATTTATACTTTTGGAAGAGTTGGTCCATGACATGGTATCTGAGTCTCTGTGACCAAATGATTTAATGTTCGATCCTTGTCGCCCCTATTCTTCTAAAAAAATTGAATTTCAAGTACAATAGCCTTAAGGAGGTGACAAAACTTTCACCATAGCTAGATATATAATACAAAAACTATGAAACTATCCCTGGCTTTTAAAATGAAAGCCAATATGTATCATCATCTAGCTAGCTCCTTTGAGGTAACATTCAGTCTCATTTATGATTATGCACATTTTGTATTACTTATTCAGCTATACTTCTATAAGCATTTAGGGTTATATGCAAGAGGAATTTAGTTAATGAACCTCATTGAAAAAAGAATCAACCCCTAGCTGGGATTTATCAAACCGAACTTTGACAGCAACTGATTTTCCATCTGGAAGCTTTCCAAGGTAAACTGATCCAAAACTTCCCCGTCCTATGACTTCTTTAAAGTTGCTTGTAGCTACTTTGATTTCTTTGTAGGAAAAGACTTTTACTGCACCCCAATTCCTCATATCCGTTTCTACCCCTAATAGCCAGAACAACATCCCATTAACACATGAAAGAAAGGCTAAAACATATAGGCATAATGTCAAAGGAGACATACTTGCTGTGTACGAGACTTCATATCTCTTTTTAGTCATGTATATAAATACTGAAACACATATCAAGATAAGGGCAAGTGTAGCTCCTCCAACCATGCCTAGTATGATTGCTAGATGATTTTGTACTTTGTGCTTCTTTTTGGGAATTATAGTCACTTGTGGTGTCTCAATTGAAGGATTGGATGATGCATCACCACATGTGGTTGTGGAAAAAGTAAGGCACAAATTCCCTGATGTTCTGCACAAGATCAAGGTATCAAATATGCATACTTTTTAAGGATACCAATGCACTGCTTCCATACCTGATCTCTAAACTTTCTTTGTTCAAGGACAGTGGAAGTGGACCTTGTAGTTTGTTGTTTTCCAGATTCCTGCATGATGACAATCATTATACTGTGACAAGTAAAGAAAACAGAAAAAGAAAAAGGATTGGCATATTATTTTTTGAACTAGTTTTCTGTTTCTCACTTACAGTAAGTGGAGATCCTCTATCTCTCCCAAGCTATCAGGAACTGTTCCCTGTAGACTGTTGTTTTGCAAGTCTCTTAACATAGAGGGGAAAAGAAAAGAAGGAAGGGAGAAAAAATGGGAATGTAAAATTAATATTACTTTTGATGTGTATATTCTGGCTTTGAGACAGAATATTATAAAATCTGAAGGGAAAGGAAAGAAAAGAGATATATATTATTGGCTAAAGTTTAAATTTCCAGTTTCACAGCAGAACCTGAAAGTTTGATAAACATGAAACTCACAGTATTTGAAGGCTAATCAAGTTTTCCAGCTCTACACCAAAGGATGTTAGATTATTGAAACCAAGGTTCCTGAAAGTTTGATCAGTCACTATCAATCTTTGATTAAAACCTAAGTCAAAGTTCATGATGCTTTTTGGAGGTATTACAGTATTTCAAGATGCTGCAAGCTATCCAAATTCTGAATTTCTCCAGCAAGAGATGTGTTGCGCAAATCCCTGATAAATAATAAGGCCGATTATCAACATAAGACAGAATATCAGCAATACATACGGATCATGTCCAATAAATAGAAAGAAAATTACAATGTTTTAAGGTCCAACAAGTCACCAAATGTAGGACTAATTGATCTCAAATTTATGCCTGAAAGATCCCTGAAAAAATTCCATTTATGTTAAATCTTCAATGTAAAGAACCATTATAAGGATAAAAAAGAATGTAATGAGTTCACACACAATGATGTAACCAGGTTTCCTTCACAATCAATATGATCCCATGGGAAAGGGGAGCATGGATCATCTTGCCATCCTAGATCCAAGCCAGTGGACTGCTGAATAACTTGCATTGCTGAAACTGAAATACAAATTGAGCAAACAATAAGTAATAAAATGAACTATAGTTAGTTAAAATGAGAGGATACTGTATGCTAGGACAAGGTAGTTAGGCACCTGTGGTTGAGGAGGCTTCAGATGGAATATCAACCATATTATATACCTCAAATGCATTGATCTGAGGGTAGAAGCTGATACTCCTTAGTGTTATATTCAAGCTGCTTATTCCCTTTTGTGTAACGTATAAAACACTGATTTCTGAGCTCTTTATTGTATAGTTTGATTTTACAAGATCTCCATTTATCAATACATCAAATGAGGGGAACACGGGAAGAATTCCAGCAAAATACAGGATGATGTAGTAGTCCCCTAATCTATCAAGAGGGAGGTTATATGCCAGCATATTTCGCCGCGCCAAGACTCTCCCAGTTTGAAGAACAGTAGCTGGTGGTTCCTCCACAATATTAGATGGATTGAAGCTATTCTGAATCTTAAATCCAGTTGTAGCATGAAAGGGTGTGAAACTTCTATCAGCATTCCATATTCTATCATAGGGATCCATGGGGTACCTGTATATTTTGCAAGCTAAACCATGACAAACTTAACTAATCACCAAAAAATGTTGAAATAAAAAAAAAAAAGCTTTGGTTCTTACTGAATAGACTCATTGGTGTGGCCACAATCAATTCGATAACTCTTCTTGAGTAGTTTATTTGGGAAATCTTCTTTGCCATTTGTGTAGGATCCTTTAGGCAGTGGTCTGATTTCAAGTGAAGAAATCACAGGAGAACCACCACTTGGAATTGAATTTAAACAGAATGGTAGTGTGTCCTTATTGACTGTCCAGAGAAACTCTTCTGTGCATGGATCATTTTTAGCAAGATTTATGTTAGCAGCAATAGCTGTCCCAAGAGAAACAGAAAAAGTAGGTGGTTTTCCAAGTCCATCATAGTTCTTGTACACAAACTTTGCTCTCAGGAGAACCAAAGTAGTTGCATTGTTCACTGGTATCCTATAGCATGTGCGGCCTCTGGAATTCGGGAAGAACCGAGCTGAGACATTTATGGAGGAAGAACCATCATTGTAATTGATGGTAATTGTCTTGCCTGTGGTTATGTAGGTAGTGTCTGGCACCCATGAAATGTTAGATGAATCACTGAAGCTGGTTTTTCCACCACAAGATAGACTCAAGAAACCTGTTTCATGAAGAAATATTAAAAAACTACACTAAGTTAGCCTGGAAAAGTGGAAACTGTTCTCATGTATTTGGTGTTATAATAATAGAATGATCAATCATCTTGTAAAATATGAGTATAAAAAGTTCTGAATAGTTTCTGAGTGTACAGAACCAATTCAACCCAAAAGCTTAAGTTATTGGGTGAGGCTACATTAATGATTTTATATATTTCAACACGCCCCCTCACACGAGAGTCTACTAGAGTTGAAGGGTGGACGATACACAGGCCCATCTACCTGTGCGAAGACAGAAATTCCACTAGAAAAAAAGTGAGGGGCGATGAGGATCGAACCCGGTACACCGAGGCTCTGATACTATGTAAAGAACCAATTCAACCCAAAAACTTAAGCTATTGGGTGAAACTATATTAATGATTTTATATATCTTAACACTGAGAAAACGAAAAGAAAAAGTTGCATATTCTCAGAGGAACATTGCATTGAAAGTTTATCAGCTCATGTTTTTAACGCTGCAACAAAGCTTAAATCAGGGCATCTACTTTCAATCCTTGAACATGTATGGTTCTAGAGTAGTCAAATGGTGGGTATGTTTGTAATATAATTAGCTTTGTGAAAGATCTCAAAATCCAAAAAGTATTGAACTAACACATAAAATGGCCTAGGAATTAGTAGTATGCAATTTTCTAGTTAATTGTCCACAATGGAAAACTTGCTTAGAAAAATAGTACTATTTTATAGAAAAGTACAAGACATACCATCTTGTCCACAGAAAGACACACCCCAGAAGCTGCAAAACAGAAAGAAGATAGGAAATGAATCCCTTAAGTCCATGAACTCTGAAGCCTACTATTAACCCAAATATTGTGTTTCTCTTTTACTGAACCAAAGAGAATAAGAAGACACGTGAATAAATAAAAGTAGTGTCATAGTAGTGTAATGAATGGATCCATAACAATCATAAGCTGTCCCTGAAAAGAAGAATGACCACAATATATGGTAGAGACATGGTAAAGCTTGAAGGAAGGGAAAAGAACACAAGGTGGCAAATCAGGAAAGGGTGTTTGGTTAGGTAGAGGGACCAAATAGTTGAGCACAGAAAAAGATGTTAGTATAAGAAAAGGAGAAAGGAAAAGTGGAAATATTACTTGGTAGCAGTGGAGTTTATGATTAAAGGATTGTTTAGTCATGGAAGAGTGATAAATGATTACATTATTTTAATTTGTTTTTTTAATATTAGCATTAATTGATTATTCCTAACAGTTTTAATACTGATCTCTACTAACAATCATTAGTTCAAGTGGCAAGGAGCTTGCTCCCTTAATTAGAGGTCTCAAGTTTGAATCCTTCAAATGAAGAAAATAGTATTAAGAGAGCCGTTACAATGCTCAAATCGAATTAAACCAGATTGGATAACATAAATTGAAAGATCTCTCAATCAATTTTGAGTTATGTGTTCTAAGAGCTGGACTTTTCTGTACTTCGATCAAGTTTGTGTTGCCATGTAGGTTGGAAACTTGGGATAATGTTAAGCATGGTTCTGCCTGTACGGATAACAAACTATGAAGTCTTCAATGACAATTATAGATACTGTCATTGACATAAATAAAATCTTAAACTCAAACCCATGTAGGTTAAGTACCTGGTTTCAAATTGTGCATAGATGCAACCATATATATGATTGTGCACATTTGTGATTGCGAAGTTTTTCTGCTAGATGTTTTTGACCTATTGAAATTTGAATCTATGTCACCTCAACTTAAACCTCAAATCACTCTAACTACTTAGAACTAAATCTAAGTGACTTGTATAACTGTCTAAGTAACATCACTCAGTTGAAAAAATTTCCTCAACCAATTAAATATGATTTTATTCATGGAAAAAGTTATATTTACAAACTTTTTGTTTACAAACTCTAACAAACTACACTATGTCTGACCGGTCATACACTAATCAAAAGTGTATGACCGATCATACTTAGTGTAATTTGTAGAAAATTTTTGTAAACGGATCCATCTCCTTTATTCACATAACTTTTAAAATAATATGCTGAAATATAAGACTAACTCTTGCAAAAAAGGAAAAAAAAATGTTGTTCTAAGAGATCATTATTAATCCTAGATAAGGTTATATCTCTTTTGAATTTATATAATCTTTAAATTCAATGCTTAGATTGCAAGTTTTGACTAACATCTTCGTCACTTGATGGGATGAAAACATGTATGGGATGCTTAACAGATACGCATAAAATAAATCATAATTAATCGTTCTAACTTTGGCTTTGCTTTCAACTTCACATAAAGATCCACCATGGGCATTTTCGTCAGCAGAGAAAAGTGACTTCTCTACAAAGCACAATATATTGCTTTTGCAGTAATAACTAGTGCCTAATGAATGATTGGACTATTAAGTTATTGTTAATTATCGTTTAATTAATTTTCTTATGACTTTGAACCAAATTGATAGATTGATTGTTGTTTGAATTATGAGGCAGAGTGACCAAAATTAGACTTTAAGTTAGTGAAATAATCAATGTCATAATTAGCCACGATCGAGGTTGTTTAATTATTGATATGGCATGGGCAACTGTGGCCAACTATAAGCAGTCATTTTAATTTGTCGTTATACTTGAGGAAAATGAAAAATTATTTGAGAATATTCAAAGTGTTCAAAGATATTAGTATGCGTAATTTCTTCTAGAGAAATCATGAAAATTAACATTTCGTTTTAATTTCCAAAAAAAAAAAAAAAAAAAAACGAAATGTTGGAATACCATTTTATTTTTGGAAATTGAACACTTACACTATACTCATTACTCAATGAGACAACATGCATGTGTTAATTTTTTATTAAAATACCGAGAATATCCTCGAATGAAGTTTTGGTCAATTGGCTTCTCATAGATGTTTCTTTTATCAATTTAATATTGATTATCCCTTGTTTAATAACCAAACTCAAATAAAGATTAAACTTTGATTTACTATTAGTATAAGTTTTTTAAACATAAAATTTCTTTGCAGTTTATATAATTCAATCCTAGATAACAACGCATCATTAAAAAACTTGAAATATGATAGCAACTTATTAAAAAGTGAAACTTTTATTATGATGTCTAAACATGTAATTGGATAATGATTAATGAATATATATGATGGATCGCATCAAGAATATACTCCTCAAATTAATAACATGTTAAGATCACCATAAAAACTAAAATTCCCACTTTCATTTTTTTGATTTTTGGTAACAAAACGTTCAAAAGGACCGGATGTTCAAGACCAAGATAAACTATTCAGTATTCACCAAAATTTTTTTTTTATAATAATATGTGATTACAAAACATTTGCATTCACCGAAGAGAAAAAAAAAATTGCACATGGCCTTATTCTTTTATAAAGGAAATTTGAAGGCACCACTAGGGGCGTAAATATGTTGGGATGGACTCGACTTTGCCTTAAAGAGATTAGGTTTATGTAAAATATTTTAGACCTGACCGGATCTGTTAGTCTTGTATAGACCTAGATTATATATAAGTCTGATATGACGTATATTTAAAAAATAAAAGTCTTGACATATGTCTATTACCCTATTAAACCTATTAGGCATTTAATAATTAAAAATAAAATAAAATAAAATAACTTTACTATTCAAAATCATTAAAAAATAATATATTTATTTTATTTAAAATGAATTATATGATATAGGTCAGCCTGTAGGCTTATAGGCTCTGGCATGTAAAATCAAGCCTGCTTTTTAAATAGATTTTTTTAGGTTTGATTATGTTCTATTTGACTATATATAATAAGTCGAGTCTGATCTAATATAGGTCAAGATGTAGGCCCTTGTTAGGCTCACTATCCTATTTACACCCCTAGGCACCACCTTAGAAAATGGATACTTTTGTTTGGTCGGAAGTTCGAAACTTATGCATACATAGAAGTTTTTTCTTCTTCTTTATATCCCAATTTTTCATTTATATTTTGTTGCAATCAGGTAGTGTTTAAATTATCTTGTGTAAATCTAAATTAATTACTTTTCTAATTTGCTCAATGGTAAATTATTAATGCTCAAAACTAACAAATTTACAATAATATTTCCTTGTAGCCTACTCTCACACATTCCCTTCCCATCCTTTCAAAACAGCTAAAGCTTAAGTGAATTATTATTTCAACCCAAAACAAAATATTCAATTACAATATTATTTCCATCCATTACTCGACTAACCAGATCAAATTGGACACAAGATCTATTTGTTTCTTGTTCCGGGTTAGTCACCACGACTTAAGACCAAAGTCCAACCTGGAACCCGGACGGAGAATTAGAGACTAGATTGTACCTCAATCTTAGTGGCCTTAACGTACCCCCCCATGATGACAATAATGGGTTTATAATAACTACCCACTCTCATGAATAACTGTCAGATAGCTCACCTATATATACATAAGAAACCCATATGCATAGGCAGATAATACACATTAATGTTCGTCCAGAACATTTGGCGTTGTCTATGGGAAAGGTAAAACTATTCCTACGCTTTTTTTCTTGAGTCATGGCAAGCAAAAACCGTGACGAGCGAGCGATGGAGAACGAAAATATTGGAGGAGGAGAGGATGATTCTTTTCGATCCAGTGGAAGAAGTCATTCTCTAAATACAATTGGACAAGCTTTGGTACAGTTGGCAGAAGACATAAGGAACATACATTATCAAGAAGGAGGAGGAAGAAGACATCGGTCAGAAGAGAGACAAGAGGAAGAGAATAGGCGATAGTGCAGAAATAGGAGGAGGGGTTCTTTATCTCTTCTTCCTAGTTATATTCCATTATCTCATCCAACAGAAGGAGAAAATAGAACAGAGGGTCGGAGGGGGCAACAGTCAAGGGAGTCCCGAAGCCCTCCAGAGAGGATGAACTATCAAAGTAGAGGAGGGGGAATACATAGGAGAATCGAATAGCGAATACAGGTCGAACATCTACGAGAGATGAGAAGGAGTTGGCAATATCATGAAACAGAAGGCGAGCAATCAGGTTGGGAATGGGCGGAGGAAGCACAACACCAAGCAAGTCGCCAGTATTATCCTTGTCGAGATGAACCGGGGCAGAATCAAAGGCGATATGAAGTGGGTTATAGAAGAAGGAGGCCAGAACAAGAAGGGTTAGATGGCAATCATAGAGGCGAGTTCCCACCTGAGGAAATCGGGTATTATCACATATGGGAAGATCAAGGCCGGAGGGGAAGTAAATGGAAGACGGGTAATCCGAGAAACAATATGGGTTATCAGTATTACAGGCAGGATCACCTGGAAGATTATGGCCCTCAACATTATGGAGGGCAAATGATGAATGTAATACAAGAAGGGCCAGATTGAAACGGGAAAGCTTGGGGAGCACCACATCAGACACAATTTCAACAAGGAATTCCTGTAATGCCTATTAATCAAGGGCCGTCAGGAACCCTTTTATCTTGGAGGATAAGAGCGGAACCTATCCCGACTTGGTTCAAGCAGCCAAATGACATGAAGGCGTATGATGGAAGTTCGGATCCCGGGGATTTTGTAACCGTATTCCGAGCAGCAATGTCATTGTGTGGAGAGTCAGACTCTTTGTTATGTCGGACATTCCCTGTTTTTCTAAGAAAACAGGCACTATAATGGTTTACTGCTTTGCCGGACAATTCAATTGATAGTTGGGTAGAACTGTCACTGCGATTTACACAACAGTTTGCTCATTTTGGACCCCAGCCTAAAACTACACATAATTTATGTGGAGTGAGGCAAAAGCCCGGCGAGAAGCTGAGAGAATATTACGAACGCTTTCAAACAGAAGCTAGACAAGTTAGGGGACTGGAGAATCAGACGTATTTGCTATTGTTCACTACTGGGTTACAACCAGGAGGGTTGGCGAACTCGTTAGCAAAAAAGAGTCCGACTAAGAAGGAGGAGCTGTTAGAAAGAATTCAGAAGTACATTGATTTGGAGGAATTTAAAACTTCTCAAAAGCAAATCGAACAAGGTTTTCGAGAAGCAACGCAAAATAGGAGGTCAGATAGACCTGTGGAGAGAGGTCAGTTTGAAGAAAGGCGGCCTCGGTTAGTCGGAGAAAGATTCCGAGAAACATACAGGAAGGAGTTTACGCCTTTGAATACTTCTAGAGCTCAGATATTGAAGGAGGTGACGTCTACAGAAATGAGAAATATTCCCAGACCGCCACCTATTCGATCGAGTTATGCGCAAGCCGACAAGACCAAATGGTGCGAGTTTCATAGATGGTACGGACATTTCACAAATGATTGCTTTAATTTGCAGAATTTTATTGAGTGGTTGATTAAGGAGGGAAAATTACAAAAGTATGTGAGAAGGGGAGAAGGAGAAGGGTGTAGAGATGATAAATACAGGCGACCAAATCGTAGTCGCAGCCCGCCCGGAGGAAGAGGCAGAGAAACCAATAGGGGCCAAAGGACAGAAGTACAAGCATCACCCAGCCAAGTTCAGGTTGGGCATATATGCACTATAGCCGGAGGGCGAGCAGGAGGTGGAGAATCAGGTAATGCTCGGGAAAAGCATTTAAAAATGTGCATGGCTATTTCTGAGAAGCCTCGTTTTAAGAAGAAATGAGAAAGACAGTTATTTCAGGATTATTAGCAAACTATCGAGTTGATAGGATGTTAATAGATCCGGGGAGTTCGGTGGACATTATATTTTGGGATGCATTCAGGAGAATGGACTTGGATTATAATCAGTTGGAGTCGTGTGGAGCTGATTCGTTAGCCTTTACAGGAGATAAAGTTAAGCCATTGGGATATATCCCACTGAGATTAACACTAGGTAAGGCGCCTACACACAAGACGAAGACTTTGTCATTTGCTGTCGTGGATTTGCTGCAGATGAAGTAAAGCTAGAAGGCGATAAGTTGATGGGAGAGGAAGTGCAGACGGGTAAGAAGGAAGCCAAGGAGGAGCCATGCGATTTGATAGTAGGGATGGATCCTCGGGTTGAAGGTAATGGAGAGAGACCGAAGCCTGCTGGAGTGATGGTGGAAGTTCAGTTAGGAGTATATCAGGAGCAAGTTACAAAGGTGGGTTCCGAGTTAGAACCGGAGGTGGCAGTAGATTTAAAAGAACTGTTGAAAAAGAACGCTGATCTTTTTGCGTGGAAGCCATCAGATATGCCCGGGATGGATCCGACTTTGTCTTGTCATCGATTGGCAATAGGTCTGGGCTTGAAGCCAGTAGCTCAGAAGAAGAGAAGGTTCTGCGCAGAAAGGAGAAAAGCAATTAAGGAAAAAACCAAAGAGTTGTTGGAAGCCGGATTTATTAGAGAGATAAAATATGTTACATGGTTGGCCAACCCGGTGCTAATCAAGAAACCGAATGGTAGATGGAGGATGTGCACTGATTATACAGATTTGAAAAAAGTCTTCCCCAAAGACCCGTTCCCACTTCTTAGTATTGATCATCTAGTGGACAGTGCATCCGGGTACAAGGTGTTGTCGTTTATGGACGCATATTTCGGGTACAATCAGATACCCTTGTGGAAGGAGGATCAAGAGAAAAAGGCTTTCATAACTGAAGATACAGTATATTGTTATAATGTTATGCCATTTGGGTTAAAGAATGCAGGAGCAACTTATATGAGGATGATGAAAAAAGTATTCAAGGAGCAGATGAGTAAAATGCTAGAGGTCTACATGGATGATATGATTGTGAAGTCGGGATATGGTAGGACGCATTTGGAGGACTTGCAAGAAGTCTTTGGGCAAATCAGGAAACATAATATGCGCATGAATCCAACTAAGTGTGCTTTCGGAGTTCCGGCAGGAAAGTTTTTGGGATTTCTCTTGACAAAAAACGGGATTGAAGCTAACCCGGATAAATGTAGAGCGGTGCTGGAAATGAAGAGCCCGAAAAATATTAAGGAGGTCCAGAAGTTAAATGGGCGAGTAACAACATTATCTATATTCATGGCAAAGTCGGCACACGTTTCGTTGTCGTTGTTTCAATTGTTAAAAAAAGGGAATAATTTTGTTTGGACGGAGGAATGCGAAGTCGCTTTTCAACATTTTAAGAAAATTTTAGCTTCACCTCCAATTCTAAGTAAGCCGGAACCAGGTGAGCTATTATTCTTGTATTCGTCTGTTTCGCAGGACACAGTGAGTTCAGTTCTTGTCCGGGAAGAAAAGGATGGAAAGAAAAAACCAGTGTATTTTATAAGAAAGGTAATGCAAGGGGCTGAAGTGAGATACCAACACGTAGAAAAGGTGGCGTTTGCACTGTTAATTACAGCAAGGAGGCTTCGTCAATATTTTCAGTGCCACCAAATAATAGTCAGAACCAATCAACCAATAAAGCAGATGTTGCATAAGCTGGATCTGGCAGGTCAGATGGTGGCATATGCAGTAGAACTATCTGAATTTGGTATTAGTTTTGAAGCACGCACAGCAATTAAAGCACAAGCTTTAGCAAATTTTGTGGTGAAAATGACACATTCAGGAAATACACAAGAAAATGGTTGGTGGAAGTTATTTGTGGATGGATCGTCCAACAAAAGGGGGAGTGGAGTAGGGAGAGAACCCGGAAGGGGTCACAGTAGAACATTCGTTGATGTTGGAATTTCCGACGAGTAATAATCAGGAAGAGTATGAGACAATGATTGCTGGGTTAATTGAAGCAAGGGAGCTGGGGGTGGAATGTTTGGAGGTGTATAGCGATTCACAATTGGCAACATCGCAGATAAGTGGGGTATACCAGGCTAGAGGGGAGATCATGATCAAATATTTAGCAAGGGTACAGGAACTAATGAAAGGGTTTAAAGAGGTCCGAGTGGAACATATCCAGAGAAATGATAATGTCCGAGCAGATGTCTTGTCAAAATAGGCAAGTACCAAAGCTACAGGGAATTTGATGACAATTATACAGTAGAATATTCGGGCTCCGAGTGTGGTATGGATGGTGGAGGAAGTAGATTGGAGGAGTCCAATTCAATATTTTTTAGAAAAAGGGGAAGAGCCTAGAGATAAAACGGAAGCAGGTAAATTGAGGAGGAGAGCTGCATGGTTCATGGTGATAGAGGGGCAGTTGTATAGAAGAGGGATGAACTCGCCTTTACTAAAATGTATATCCCCACCAAATACCGAGTATGTGTTAGAAGAAATTCATGAAGGTATTAATGGGCATCATCTCAGAGGAAAGTCTTTAGCAAGAAAAGCTATACGAGCAGGGTATGTTTGGCCAACGATGGGAGAAGATGCCAAGAAGCATGTGCAAAGGTGTGAGCAGTGTCAGAAATTTTCCAGTGTATACAAAGCTCCCTTAGTAAAGTTATTCACGATCTCGTCTCCTTGGCCATTTTTTAAATTGGGGATGAACCTTTTAGGCCCATTTCCTAAAGCAGCTGGAAGGGTCAAGTATTTGATTGTAGCAACAGACTATTTTACGAAATGGATAGAGGCAGAACCTGTAGCGAGTATCACTGCTCCGAAAGTTCAGAAGTTTTTTATTGGGAAGATAGTGTGCAGGTTTGGTATTCCGGCTATAATCATTACTGATAATGAGACTCAGTTCATAGATAAAAAGTTCTGACAAGCGGTAGCCGACTTAGGGGTGAAGCATCACTTTGCAGCGGTGGAACATCCACAGAAAAACGGACAGGTAGAGTCTGTGAATAAAATTTTGACGAATAGGTTAAAAAGGAGAGTAGAGGGATGTAAAGGAAATTGGGTGGAAGAATTAGACAGTGTGCTATGGGGGTACAGAACTTCAGTACAGTCTAGTACTCAAGAAACCCCATTTAGGATAACATACGTGTTTGATGCAATGTTACTTGTAGAAGTCGGTGAACCGTCATGGAGAAGGAAAATGATGCCAGAAGAAAAAGAAGACGAGAACAATGAAATGATGAAGATTGATTTACAGTTGTTACAAGAAGAAAGGGAGAAGACAACAATGGTGGAAATGGCATCTAAACAGCGGGCACCAACGAGGTATAATCGGATGGTAGTAAAAAGGACATTTGATGTTGGAGATTTGGTGCTCAGGCAGGCAAATGTGGGAAATAAAAATGCAAGAGATGGGAAGTTGGCAGCAAATTGGGAAGGTACATACCAGGTAACGACTTCTACTAATACTGGAGCTTATCAAATAGAGCATTTAGATGGGAAAATCATTCCAAGGTATTGGAATGCTGACAAGTTAAAGATGTATTTTAGCTAAAGAACTCGTTTTAAAGTAGATGTAGGAAGTAGAAGTGCTATGTTAGCAGATAGTTTAATAGTTGGTTATAGGAAGTTATTCCTAGATTTAGTATTTTCAGTTGTAATTTTTGAATTCAATAATACAAGCGAGTTCTAACATTGGTTTTAAGTATGTGGAAAACAAAGTCCCTTGCCGCTAGCAATGGCCTCTTGGGCACCTGTCCAATTCCTACTTGAAAACGGGAAAACAAAGTCCCGTGCCACCAGTAATGGCCTCTTGGGCACCCGTTCAATTCCTACTCAGAAACGGGAAAACAAAGTCCCTTGCCGCCAGCAATGGCCTCTTGGTCACCCGTCCAACTCCTACTCAGAAACAGGAAAACAAAGTCCCTTGCCGCCAGTAATGGCCTCTTGGGCACCCGTCCAATTCCAACTCGGAAACGGGAAAACATAAAGAATTTGAGGTGCCAGAAGTGGTTCCTTCAGTATTTATATAGTTCTTATCCGAAAATAAAAAAGATCGGGTTTTGGTGAGTAAAGTTGTAATTAGAACAAGAAAAGAGAAAAGGAACAAAGAAAATTCAATAGCACATATACCCGGGGAACAATTGAACTCGAAACGCAACCAAGGTCTTGAGTTAGTCAACATTGAAAGTACAATTTTATTAAAGAATAAATTGTTAGAGGTATATATACCTAGAAAACAGCTGACAACCGAGTTCTTGAGTTAGTTGACATTGAAAGTACGATTATTAAAATATAAATTGTTGGTGTACATACCCGAGTAACAGCTGAACTCGGAAGACAACCGAGTTCTTGAGTTAGTCGCCATTGAAAGTACAATTTTGTTAAAGAATAAATGGTTGGTGTACATACCCGAGTAACAGCTGAACTCAGAAGACACCCGAGTTCTTGAGTTAGTCGCCATTGAAAATACAATTTTGTTAAAGAATAAATGGTTGGAGGAAATCAAATACATATACGTGCGAATCAGGGTTGATAATGTTAACAAGTAAGTCTTAGTTAATGCCCGCTAAAATAAGTCTTTAATACCAGTTGAACTCGCCAAAGTAGAGAGTTGTATGCTTGACAGAATAAAAATGAAAAATTTAATAGTCATACGAGATTGATGGAAGCAAACAGTAACATGATAATCATTAGCTAACATTCAGTTTTTTAGTACAAAAGGAAAAAGTATCCATTAGAGAAAGATAAAAGAAACAAGTCAAAAGTCCCCATAACAGTTGATACGACAATTAACAAAAATACATTTAGAAAAGAGGGACATCTAGGTCTTCACAGTCCTTCAGAAGCATTTTCAGAGGTAGCATTAGTTGGATCCGAGTTCCCCGGGGTATATTCAGAAGGGCGAGTTGCAAGAACAACCGTGTGACCTTCGAAGTTATGAGTGCACAGCTGACCATCCTTTATAAAATTGAATGTTTCAATTTCGTGTAAATCATGAAGAGGAGTGTCCGGTTTAAAGAACTTAACTTGATCTAACACCCAACCTCGAAGTTGATGACCGTATGCTTCAAATTTGGAGTCCATTTCAATACCCACCTTCTTTAGGGTATCTACTTCTAATTCTAGTTCAGCTACTCGAAAATCAGAATCTTTGAAGTTTTTCTTGAACCGATCACGCTCTTGGGTTAAGACCGAATAATCATTCTTGGCAAGTTGTAGTTCATCAGTGGCTGTTTTGGCGGCCTCTTTAGCAGTAGTAATAGTGACTTCATTCTCTTTCAATTGGACTTGAAAATTCTGGGCAGATGATTCAGCATCTTCTGCCCGTTTGGTGAGATGTTCCTTTTTAGCATGGAAAGTGTTTTTAAAATTTTGCCACTATTGGAGTTCAGAGAGAAGATGTTGGCGTTCAGCCAAGGCCAAAAGAGCCATCTCTAAAAAGTGAGCTTCTCGGATGTCATGATCACGGAGAACAGTGAATTTCGAGATAATTTGGTCCAAGGAAAGCTTGTCCCATTTTTCACGAAGCCCTGCAGTAAAACAAGGTTGCAATTTGTGTAAGAAAGGAAGGCCGGATAGTATGCCAGAAGATTTTGCAGCCACGACAGAAGTTGGAGGACTTAAGGTCTTATCAGTTGCAGAAGAATCTGGATTAGCTCATTGATTCTAACCCTTTTCCTATGTTGAAGCTCACTAGAATCAACTAGTCCTTCTAACTCGGACATAACAGTATTCTCAGGAGCAGAGCTCGTAGCAGACGTAACTGGGATATGAGAAGAATTTTTGGTACCAGAGGTAGTGGGGGTGGCAGTTTGAGATGCCTTCTTTTTCATCTGAGTAAAAAATTGGGGATCTATAGATTTATCTATAAAAAAAGAAACAATCAAATTTAGATATAGAAAATGTAAATAGCACAGAAGGAAATGTTAATTTACTTACTAAGTTGCCGGCGAATCCATTCAGAAGAATGTTTATTTTCTAAAATGGAGCGAGGAGAAATAGAAGCATTTTCTTTGGTTAGTTCATCCGTTAGTTTTTTAAACCAAGTATAAGTTTCTGACTCTTCGGCAATCAGGTTCTTTGAGTTAGTCAAGAAGACTTTGGCTGAAGGCGTGTAATGAGATCGGTTCCAAGATAAGGGGAATCGAGGAAATCCATCTTGATCCAAAAAGAAAGCAGTAGGTGGTGCTGATTGAGAAGAAGAAAAAGAGACAGAAGGAGTGGACAAAAGAGCTTCAGGTGTGCAAATTTTGAAATAGTCTTCTTTGAAATTTTTCCAGTTGTCTTCATATATAGTACACCACCTGAGACCTGGGTGTGCTTTCAAAGATACCTAACTATAACGGGTACTACCCTTTTCTATGGCACTTCGGAACACGACAAAAAGGAAGAAAAAGACCCGAGAAAAATAGGTAAATTCATAAGCTTGGCAAATTATTTCAAAAGTATGTAAGAAACACCAACTGTTAGGATGAAGTTGAGAAGGAGCGACTTTGAGGTGATTCAGAACGTTCGTTTGGAATTCAGTACAAGGTAAGGCAAGTTTGAGCTCAGAAAATAAACACTTGTAGATAAAGAAGAAAGAATTCTCACCTTGCCCAGAGGGAGAACAAACTCGCTCATTTTCGTCAGGTATGGAAACCCGGAAAGAAGTAATAACAGAGTCATGAAATAAGGGTACTGACTGTAGAGCAGCTTGGAGAGTACTCGGATTGTTAACATAAGATGAACGAAGTCCTAAGGCTTCTTCGTCAACCCATTCTAAACCCGCCAGATTTGGAGGGAGAGCAAATCGAGAAGCGGGAAGCGAACGGTAAGGGCTCGACATGTGCCTGGACGAAAATCCACCATTAGAATCTAATTCAGTAAAGGAGTTAATAGTTAATATATTAGTAGGGGATGATAGAGGGGTGTAAAGTTATCCTAATCCGCCCAGAACCTGGTAAAAGGAAGGGAAGAGCCTTATTATGAGTAAAGTTATGAGGGTAAGAGAAATAACTTTCATCTAAGGAAGATAAAGGCAAATCTAAAAGATTCTTCTTTGAGGGGATAGTTAGGAGAAACAAGAAGAGAAACAACAGGAATAAAGGATTGGGAGAAAGATATAAAGGTAAAAATACCAAGAATAACAATAAATAAAGAGGATAGAAAATGCAGACAAGAATTAAGAAAGATAACAAGAGAACTAGTACACTTACGTGAAAAGGAGTATGATCAAGAAGGCAAAAAGGAACAACAGCGTGATAACAAAAGCCAACAACAACACACAAGACGAAATACGGTTAACAGAGAAAAGTGAAGAAGATACAAGAAGAGAAATTTAGAAAAACAAAAGAAGATAAAGAGGTGTGAGAAAGGTTAAGTAAGAGAGGGAAAAGAACTCAAAGGACAACTAACGTTTTGAAGTTGAATGATTGAGGGATGTCAAGTCACGCCGTTTGGGAAAATCGATACCAGCAAAAAGAGGACACGTAGCAAGAAGGAAATGAATCGACAAGAAGTATTTAATGAAGACATTGATAAACGGAAGAAAAGAAGTATTAGGTAAAAATAACTTATATTGTTAACTCGGATTAGATGGTACATCGTAATCCGAGCTGAGGGGCTTAATGTTTTGGGTTAGTCACCACGACTTAAGACCGAAGTCCAACCTGGAACCCGGACGAAGAATTAGAGACTAGATTGCAACCTCAATCTTAGTGGCCTTAACAGACCCCCCCCCCCCCCCATGATGACAATAATGGGTTTCTAATAACTATACACTCTCATGAATAACCGTCAGATAGCTCACATATATACATAAGAAACCCATATGCACAGGAAGATAATACACATTAATGTTCATCCAGAACATTTCTCAACAGATGTCTCAATCCATATGTTTAGGTATTAAGATCCAGAACTCAGAACATGCGTGAGGAAGAGGTAAGGTTTGAGAGAAAATGAGTAAAATCGTACTTAACTCTTATCGGGAACCAAAAAAAGAAGAAGAGAGTAACCAATTGAATAAGATACTATGGCTAAGTTAGAATAACCCAAGTAGGACTCAACTGCGGTTTACAGCAATTGATGGCAGTTACAACAAATTATAATCAATGAGTAACAAAAGTAACAAACTTAGCAACTAAAAAACATTGATCCTAAAACTTGGCGAGGCAGATATTTTTACTACCAAAAAAATTCACTACCTATCTAATCATTAATGGATCAAAGAGAGAGAATGCTAAAAAGTTTCTAAAGAAAGAGAAAATGTTGATATAACAATGATTAAATAGGTTGAGTTGGTAGTAAATTTTTTTGGTTGTAAGAATATCTCCCCACCCCATATATGATTCGATTTTATTGTTTTTGGTAGTATACGGTATACCCACCACAATTTTGAGATTCTGACTGTCCGTCCTTGAAGCCCTTGAAGATAACTTCGATGTTTAAGTTTAAAATCATGTAAAATTTTATTTCTAATTAAAATATTTACTAGTGTATTACCTGTGCGATGAACGGAGGAAAAAGATCAAAAAAAATTTCGTCCGCCGTGGTTGGTTAATCGCACTGCAAACCTTATACTTACAAAAAAACTATGTTGCTATTTTGTTCTATATTTCAGGTGGAAAAAACTACGGCATTAACACAGAACTTTGCAAATATCAACCACAAACAAAGATCGGCTATTGAGAGGGATCAATTATTTTTCCATACTAAAACATCATAATACAACATAATACGTTATACTGCACAATGTTAACAGGAGGAAGAGATATAAAAAGAAAAATGCATACCACTCACAGTACAATAACACCAAGCAAATATGGAGTTAAAAGATCAACACTTACCAAATATGTCATTTGCTATATGATTTCCGTTCCTTGTGACTGCGATAGAGAAGACAAAAACTCATTAAATAAGTTACACTAATAAGTTAACAGACAAAAGTAATACTATCAGGAAAAAAAAGGAAAGATAAGGATTAATTTTTATTTAGGACAAAAAAAATGTTGTCTAAGCGGGATTAGAGGGCACCTTAAGCAAATAAGCACGTATGAGTCATATTTTTTGCTTACATTGCAAAAAATGCGTCTAAACAAAATCAAATCCACTACACTAATCTTTGAAATACTTCCTTGTAGACGATGTTAAAGGTACGATTTGTAACACAACCATTATCATCAAGTATCAATATCTTCAATCATTGTTTGCTCTTTACTCGTGAAAGTGCCACATATAATTGCCCATGAGTAAAGACGGGCTTAGGGAGATTGTAACGCCCGATCACTTGCAAGAATCAATGACTGTCCCCACACACTAACACGAGAGTTTTCAGTGTGCTTTGTCCTCACTCGCACACTTCCCGGGAAAACTTCCCAGGAGGTCACCCATCCCAGAATTGCTCCAAGTCAAGCACGCTTCACTGTGGAGTTCTTCTGTTCCGGTCTATCGAAAAGAAGATGCATCTTGTTAGTATAGGTAGTACCAATTAATTCTTATAAGCCATTCCTAACTGTACCGTCCCATACCAGCACAGTCTCTGGAATCCCTCTCTTTCGGGTGTTGATTCGATTCATTCATGAACCCCCAAGCTGCAAGATTTGGCATGAGCCGCTCATTGTCCGTGCCCTTTTGCACCGGCGATCACTCCCTGCCCTTGCCAGCTCTTGGGATGTTACAGAGATAAATGCCCACATGCGAAAGAGATTGTCCTTGTCTCTTGTTGATACTCATGGCAAATGAAACAACTAGTGGGAATTGTCTTCTTTGGAAATGTATTGGAAATGAATGACTTGAAGGGCTCATCGTCATTCTAGGGATTATTAACACAGTTTCTCCGATATTACTTCCGATAAGAACAGTTCCTTCAACAAAACAGTTGCCCAATCTTGAAATAAGCAATCTTGTGCCGTTGTATAAACCTCTTGACTGATCAATATTTCTCAATAGCATAACCGACACATTAACCTTCAAAATTAATTTATGATCAGGAATTCTGAAACAGGAGAAGGTATTTAAAATTTCAGGTGAGAACTCGTCATCTTCAATTTGAGAATTATTATCTTGTTTCAAGACATTATCCGAATTGAAATATGTCTTTTCTTCACCCGGAATCAAAGACATTAAGAGCTCATTTATCATAGCAACATCTGTCAATTTAGGAGTTAAAAGTGCACGTTCTCTGAAGAATGTAGGATCCTTAATATGATCCAAGAGATTCGGGTACACAAAATCAACCAAATCTGATAGTGGATGTTCTGATTCCTCAATTAATAATCCATCTGGAATTATTATCATAGATTCTCCATCAATATTATCTCCAAGATCACCATCTCTTATTTTAAGGAGCCAGTCAAAAAAATCCTTTATTTCCGCATAATTTTTAATCCCATTTCCAGTAGTAAGTCGCATGTTCTTAGTCAAAGTCAATAAATGACAATGGGACCAAAGATGAGAAGAATTAATTGTTGCATTGACTATTTGTTGTCTGCTACCATGAGGAATTACGGGTAATATTTTCGAAAGTCACCTCCCAGAACAATGACTTTTCCACCAAATGGCTTATCAACACATCTACTATCAGAAAATCTAAGAATATCTTTCAGTATTTTGTCCAGGGCCTCAAAATAAAATCAGTGTACCGTTAGGGCTTCGTCCCAAATAATTAACTTTGTTTTTGCCAGCAACTCGGCAAGAGGAGAATTTTGAGTGATATTACAGGTTGAAATGGGAATACGAAATCTAGAATGTGCAGTTCGTCCTCCAAGAAGCAAAAGAGAAGCAATTCTACTATAAGCAACATTAAGTACAATTTCACCATTTGATCTAAAAAAAGCAAAAAAGGTATTCCAGATAAATGTTTTTCCCGTACCACCGAAACTACTGAAACGATGTTTTCATAAGCTTTTCTCTGCTCATCAGTCAGGGAATTCTTTAGTCTTTTATGCTCTTCCATCATAGAAAATCTGTCATAAAGTAACTCATCAAGCACCAATCTATTTTGCACATGAAGTAAAGATTCACCGCTGATGCGAGGCATTGATGGGTAATCAGAAAGGCATCTTCCATTGCTTTGTAGTATCTTATCAATTTCAGCAAGTGTTGTGTTTTTTATAGACTCTTCCGTAAGAACCGCATCTGAATCCACACCAAACAAAAAACATAAGAAATAAACAAAGAAAAAGAAAAAATGCAAAAGAAAAATAAAATACAACAGTAAAATATTACCTGGAATGTAATTACTATAAGAATATATCATTAGATTAAATGTGGAAAAAAAAATCAAAGCAACCTATCTTTTTTTTCATTTGGACGGAAGAATGTATACTAATGAATGGATGAAATATACACATAACATGTACCTTGACGTTCGATGCTTTTCCTATGCATATAGAGGACATCGTCAGATAGAAATTTCCAACACTTTTCCCAAACGTTTTCGTGTTTGGTCATGGAGTTGGTAAACAGATATCGAAGATAGGCAGTTGACGCCCACGTACTTGCCTCTGTAATTGCATCAATGTACTCATTGTCGTCGTCCAAAAGTCCTAAAGAATAGCAGGCATCCTTAAATGAAGGGAAAAACACTTCATTTATTGTTCGCAAATCGTCATAACTCATACAACCCTTTTGAAAAGTAAGCAGGAGCCGCAAATAGGAATCTTCTCCATTATTAGCAGAAAATCGATTTATTCTTCCAATTGAAAATCCTTTTTTTCCTGGATGTCATTCATGTGTATTTTCTTTGTAAACAAAATAAGTGGGATACTCAGCATAAGTAAGATACCTCCCCTCCGGAAATTTTTTGTTTGCTTCTATCCAAGACTTGAACATTGAACTTCTAGATTCCGCCCGTGTCTTTACATCAGATATTGAAGCACTGTCACTAAAAACAATGCTCTTTTGATTGGGTAGTTGAAATGGCAATCTCTGAACAGGGGGTATCTGCAATGAACATCAAATCCAAAAATTCTCCAAGCTGCTTCACATGCAGAGACATACCTGTAAGAAATAAGCATTGAATCTTAGAATAGGTCAAAAAATAATGATGCATAAATATTACATAAAACAATTTAATATGAATTGAAGTACCTACAATCGTAAAACATTCTAATCTCGTCATTCGTGCAAGTGCTCTCGCTAAATGAATTTGAATGATGGATCGCAGCTGTCACTCGATCATTTCCTTTATGAATATATTTAAAAAGATATTTAATGGCCTTGCTTTGACAGGTATATTCAACATTAATATGAGCTTGATACTTTAAAAGAAGTTTTGCATTATACAACACAACATAACGATTATCAAGTTCAACACCAATTTTGTTGACAACTGTACCATCATTATTTCTCTTGTAATGAGGGAATCTGTCATCATCAATAAAAGTACGGGAGCATAAGTTCTTGGGAAACTTCTTTGAACAATTTCCATCTTTCATGCAAGGAGAATTGTAATTGTCAGGACCACAGGGACCATGCATCATGTAAGTGTTGACAGCCAAAAACAGGGATGGATGGGTATCTTTGTTAGGAATCTCTGCTGAGATCAATCTATCAATATCAATTCCACTATTTGGCTTGTCAGAAGGGTGCAAGAACAGTAGGATGTGAGCATGAGACAGTCCACGCTTTTGAAACTCAATGGTACAAACATCTGTAACATTTAAACACACAAACATGTATAATTAGTGAAATGAATATAATTAAAAGAAAAAAATGGTAGAATACAACATACATACATGCATTAACTCTTCCAAGAAAATTTTCCTTTCTTAAATCATTAAGCAATTGATCCAATTTGAATTTGAACACTCTGCAAAGTATATCTGGACGATCTTCAGGTTTTAGATTTCTAGCATTTAGGAACCGTGAAATTTCCGTCCACTTAGGATTGCATGTAATTGTAATAAAAAGATGAGGATACCCAGCCCTACGGCAAATTGCAAAAGCATCTTTACAATTTTCAGCCATATATCTAGGTCTGCCTGTGAAAGAAGAAGGTATTATGATACGCTTTCCAGTTTTGGTTGCGGCATCTTCACCTCTATAAAATGCATGAATAACATTTTGGTACAACTCAGCTCTGAGATGATCTTGGTTATGACGAATGAAGCTTATTCATTCATGCTCAATCATAGTGTAAGCATCTACCAAGAATTGTTGAAAAAGTCTTCTAAAGTGATGGACAATTTGAGACTCTCCCGATCTTGTTTGAAGTCTAAATGAAAAGAATTCTCTCATGCTGATAGTGGCTCTAGTTTTGTTCTTCCACTGGAAACAATATTGCGCTGGACATCATAATGGTAGCCATCTTCACCGTAAGGAAATAACAAAGGATATTGCATACCAAGGTATAATGGATGTTGCACATCTAAGCACTGTAAAACTCTATTTCGGGTTTCAACAATGATGTCCCTATCACCCATTAAGCCATCTATATCTCCAACAATCAAAGCAGCAACTTCGGATGCGGATGGAAGATTATAAACTCTTCCATCACTACTACACCTTCGAATAAGCCTCAACTTCACACCATTCAAGTTGTCTTCATTATATCGGTCTTTGGCATACCGGAAAGATTGACCAATACTGTTGTGTTCATCTAACATATCCTTCAAGGATTGAATTATATTGGGATCAAGCATATCTTCTTTGTTGGTGGAACTGCAAACGTAGTATTAAAAAAATTGAGTGTGCTATTATAAAATCAATAAAAATATAATACATAAATGAACAAAGAAAAAAAAATTGAATGCACTATACCTTATAGAACCCAGTCTATGATCAACTTCATTCTCAGTATCGTATATATATAAAGTTGAGCAAATTTTGGAGTTTGACAGTCAGCTGGCAGAAGATTGCCCATTCGATGATGAACCTGCCCACCTACTCTAAAACAGTAAGACCCAGAACCTTGATTTACTGATCTATCCACTTTTCCTCCAAATGAGGTAAAGGAAAATATCATGTTATATGCTCGAATATTTCGTAAAAAATGGCGGCTCAAGATATTGGAATTATCATGCAGTTGAAGCAACGTATCTGGAGCAGTTTTTAACAAAGGAAGTTTAACTTTTCCATTCGCACAGCATAGACTAAACTCTGGTGCTTGGGCTTTACGATCTTTATGAATTCTTTCTTCATACCACATCGATGCTCCACAATGCCGGCAAACAAAAGTAGGATCGCCTACATCCGAATAATCCAAATCTATTCAAATGAAATTAACATGTTAGATAGGCAATCATTTTATATTTATACAATAACGTTCACTGATACAATAAATAAATTAAAAAAGATTACCATTTAAATCACACATCTTGTTGATATTGAGAGAATTTATAAATTTATTACAACTTTTCTTCCAAACGGTCACGGTCTTGCAACGTATTCCAGCATGTACGTTATCTACAAAAAAGGATAAAACATAAAATAAAAAATACCTTAATTAAAAATAACAGAATTATATATGATATATCAAAAAATATTTAAATATATAATAGAATAAATTTAAAGCAATTAATTATTGAGACGAAATAGAACCTTGACATGGATTTAAATGATTAACGTCTTCCGCAATTGAAGGCGAAGCATTTGAATTTTCCTGCGTATTGTCTATTTCACATAGTTTGTTTAATTATATATATATATATATATATATATATATATATATATATATATATATATATATATATATAAAAAGTCCCAAGTAAGAATTTTTTTGTGGTAAAGAATAAATGAGGAAGAAAAATTACTTGGCAACTCGGGAGGCAGACAATGGAGAAAGATCTTCCACCAAAGGATTTGTAACACTAGTGGAGGGAAACGATTCAAATATTCTTCTTGAAAAAAAAAATCTCAACTTATAAGAAGTCATAAAGTATGATTTTTTTTTGTTCTACATTTACAAATGACAAAAAAAAAAACTTACGGAACAACGGGAGACGCTGATCGTGGAGAAAGATTTTCTACAGAAGATTTTACCGTACCTTTTGATGAACAGGAATCGTGCAGTATGCTGGGATAAAAAAGATTAAAATTAGTGTACCTTGAAAAAAGTCCTCACAACTTATTACTATATTGTTGTAAACAAAATAAATGAGGAAGCAAAACTTACCTGCCAA